CTGGGAAGGGCAGTGGGGATTGGGAATGGGATCATGCTGGGAAGGGCAGTGGGGATTGGGAATGGGATTGTGCTGGGAATGGCAGTGGGGATTGGGAATGGGATTATGCTGGGGAGTAGGGATTAGGAATGGGATCATACTGGGAATGGCAGTGGGGATTGGGAATGGGATCGTGCTGGGGAGTAGGGATTAGGAATGGGATCATGATGGGAATGGCAGTGGGGATTAAGAATGGGATCATACCGGGAAGGGCAGTGGGGATTGGGAATGGGATCGTGCTGGGAATGGCAGTGGGGTTGGGAATGGGATTGTGCTGGGAATGGCAGTGGGGATTGGGAATGGGATTATGGTGGGAAGGGCAGTGGGGTTTGGGAATGGGATTATGTTGGGAATGGCAGTGGGGATTGGGAATGGATTATGGTGGGAAGGGCACTGGGGATTGGGAATGGGATTATGCTGAGAAGGGCAGTGGGGATTGGGAATGGGATCGTGCTGGGAAAAAGAGTAGGGATTGGGAATGGGATCGTGCTGTGAAGGGCAGTGGGGATTGGGAATGGGATCACACTGGGAAGGCCAGTGAGGATTAAGAATGGAATCACACTGGGAAGGGTAATGGGGATTAGGAATGGAATCATGCTGGGAATGGCAGCGGGGATTGGGAATGGGATCATGCTGGGAAGGGCAGTGGGGATTGGGAATGGGATCACACTGGGGGGGTAGGGATTAGGAATGGGATCATACTGGGAAGGGCAGTAGGGACTAGAACTGGGATCATGCTGGAGGAAGAATTCCAGAGCTGCTCCAGCAAAATGTGGCTTGGGAGCCCTCAGGTGAAGGAGTGCTGTCCATGTGCTCCATTGTTTTGGGAAACCTGGAGTAAAGGGCTCAGAGCCGTGGTGCGTTCCAGAAATTCCAAGTTCCAGCTGAGGGATCAGAGGGGTTGGGCCACACTCACCACCTCGAACCACTTGACCAAAGTGCTGAAGTTGGGGTTTTTCTTGTAGTTCTGGATCAGGGCAGACTGGACACCCTTCCCGGCACACTCGATGTCCACACGGGGCCGGTCCACCTGGGCCAGGTTCACTCTCTTCAGGTCCCTGAGCCCCCAGAACAAGATCTAGGGCAGGAGGAAGAGGAGGGATGTGAATGTGAGAGGGACGATCCCTGGGAGCTGGTCCTCCACGGAGAAGGATCCCACTGCCGATGTCATCACAGGGCAGTGGTGGGTCCCTGAGGTATCTCCTCCTGACACCCTGCAGCCCAGGGTGCATCTCCTGCCTGCTGCCCATGGCATTTTCCTGCCTTTCTCCCTTCCTGGCCTTTCCCTGGCCTGGGAATCCACAGAGCAGCTCTGTCCTTCTGAGGTGGCTCTGGATCCAGCACTGCCATCGCTTTGTCCCAATGGGATGAGTGCCACTAGGGAAACTTCCCTGTCCCTGCCTGGGATAACAGACTGCCACCCTCCAGAATTCCCCAAAATGGAGATTTCCCCCACCTCCTCATTCCCCACAGCTGTATTAAAATTGTGAGGAGCACAACTCATTTATTGTGATGCAAATGTGTGGAAAACCAGGAGCCAAAATCCCTGTGGAGACCTGGTCAGTGGCACCTCACCCGAGCAGAGACACCTTCACCCAGGGCTGGGATGTGCTCTGAACATCCTCGTGGGCATTGCCTGGTCCACCAGGACCTCCAAGGGACTCATCACAGAACCAGGGAATCATTCGGAAAAGCCCACCAGGATCATCGAGTCCACCCTGTGACCAGTCCCCACCTTGTCCCCAGCCCAGAGCACTGAGTGCCACGTCCAGAGCCCGACCCCCCTGGCTGTCCCCTCCTGGCAGGAGCTGTGAGAGCCACAAGGTCCCCCCGAGCCTCCTTTGCTCCAGGCTGAGCCCCTTCCCAGCTCCTCAGGAACTCTCCATTCCCTTCCCAGCTCCTCAGGAACTCTCCAGCCCCTTCCCAGCTCCCTCAGGAACTCTCCATTCCCTTCCCAGCTCCTCAGGAACTCTCCATTCCCTTCCCAGCTCCCCCAGGAACTCTCCATTCCCTTCCCAGCTCCTCAGGAACTCTCCAGCCCCTTCCCAGCTCCTCAGGAACTCTCCAGCCCCTTCCCAGCTCTCCCAGCCCCTCCTGGGGCTCCGTTCCCTTCCCTGGACACGCTCCAGCCCCTCCGGGTCTCTCCTGGCAGGAGGGGCCCAGAGCTGCCCCAGCCCTGGAGGTGCCCCAGCAGTGCCAGCCCAGGCGATGGGCACTGCCCTGGGATCTTCCCACATTATTTTGGATACAAAATCCTCCTTTAGATATCCATGGATACATGAGAGACATCCCATCCTTGTTGCCTGAGGTTGATGGGATGGAGAACACCTGAGCTATGGGATTGCTCTGGGAACAAATAATCCAACTCTGTGCCCATCTCTAATGTTCCCTGAGCTGCATCTCAGCCCAGGTGCTGCTCACTCACTCTCCTGCCCAGGTTTGACAGGAAGGAATGATCCAGTTCCCTGTTTTTTTTTAGGGATGCTTCAACCTGGTTCCCAGTCGGGCCACCACGGACAGATCCTTGTCTCCCAGTTCCCTCCTGCCCTTCCAACACCCTTGTAGATGCTCTCTTGCCCCAGGCAATGCTCCACACGGACATTGGTTACCTCCACTCTGTATCTGCTCAGCACCGGCCGAATTCCCAGCGGCACCGGCAGGATGGGACCTCGGTCCATGTCCGTGGGGCCGTCGATGGGGGGCAGGTCTGATTTACCCCCAGTGCCGATCTGGAAGAGGTGGATCACAGATTGGATCTGCTCCTCTGAGCTGCTGGGAAGCAGTTTTTGGTCCTTCTCACAGAATTTTGGAGTCGCGGATTGGTTTGGGCTGGAAGAGGCTTCAAAGATCAGCTCATTCCAACCCCTGCCATGGGCAGGGACAAATTCCAGAAGGAGCTGGGCTGTATCTCACCTGGAACTGGTCCCAGCTGTTGGAGCTGGGGTGTCTCAGAGGGCTGAGAGCCCCGGGCAGGTGCTTTGGGAAAAGGAAAACACAGGAGCAGAAGGTGCTGGGAATTGCTGTCCTTCCACACAGAACAGTCCCCAGAGCAATCCCAACTTCTCAGCCCATCCCAGGGCTGTTCCATCCTGGAATTGCATCTGCTGGGCTGTGTGTGAGGAAACGGAAATGTGGTCCCAGAGCTCAGCCCAGGAGCAGGTTTAAGGTCTCGTTTCCAGCCCAGGGGTCAGGAAAGATCAAATATCCCATGTGAGCCATCCCCCCAGTCCAAGGAAAATTGGGAGAAAAAGGGTTTGGATGAGCACCTGTCCTGGCAGAGAAAGGAGATGGGAAAAGCATTTCAGTGGATGGAACACGAGCTGCGAAAGTGGAAGAATTTAACTCTGGTATTGCCCCAGGCTAGGAATCATGGAATGGTTTGGGCCAGGAGAGGCTTCAAAGACCATTGAATTCCAACCCCTTGCCATGGGCAGGGACACCTTCCACCTTTCCAGGCTGCTCCAAGCCCCGTCCCACCTGGTCTTGGACACTTCCAGGTGTCTTTGGTGAACAACAAGTGGTCGATCCATCCAAGGGAAACTACAAGGTCTCAGCAGACCAACGACTGGGTGAAGGGGCAGTTATTCCCGGTTATTCCCAGCTACCCAATTCTCCACAAATTAATCCCCTCTCGCTTCCAACCCTGCATCCATTCTTCCCATCCCTTTGTCCAGCCGGCACCTGGAGCAGCTCGAAGGCGGCCAGCAGGTCCCCGGCTGTGGCATTGCCGCGGTAGATCTGGTAATATTCCAGCTGGGGTGGGAAGCGCGGTGGGCAGTACTGCTCGTCCGACATCTTCACCACCGGCTTGGCGAATGTCCGGCCCATGAAGTCGGCTTTTCCCTATGAAAAAAGCACTTGGGATTGGAAATCCAACACAGGAATTCCAAGATTAGCCCCATGGTTCTCCCCAGGAGAACTTGGGGTTGGGGATCTGACGTGAGAATTCCAAATTTAACTCCATGGTTCTTCCCAGGAGCACTTGGCTTTGGGGATCCAACACAGGAATTCCAGGACTTAACCCAGTGATTTTCCCCAGGAGAACTTGGGGTTGGGCATCCAACATGAGAATTCCAAATTTAGCTCCATGATTCTCCCCAAAAGCACTAGACGTTGGGAATCTGACA